TTTTTCCTTCGAAAAAAAAAAAAAAAAAAAAAAAGAATAAAGGAAAGAAACAGATAACTGATGGAGATACTTACGACCATTAAATGGAAGGCAACGCGAAGTACGTTTGGATAATAGTCGATGAAATACGAGGATAGAAGATAATAAAGAGCCCAGATATTTATTACGCGTTCACGAGACGCTGTTTGCTTTGGGAATAACAGCTAACAGTTAACGTCTGCTGCACGCCGAGCTTTTTTCAGCTTACGGATTCAGCAAATTGTTAAGAAACGGGATTGTTCGGCACGATCGTTTCAATTTTCGTACGAAGTACTGGTCTTTTTGATCTTTATGAGTCATTTTAGAGAATTTATACTGACAGGAAACATTCAGAGAAAGCATTACAGTGTCAGAAATTCTTAATACTATTCTTAATACGAGAACTTCCTGAAGAAAGCACTTGATGTTGCATTTGAATTCAAGCTTTTATTATCGTCTCTTCACTCGCTTTGTAAACAAAACCACTGTTCACGAAATAGCGGAGAATGAAACATGAGACCGTCGTCTCATTGGGTGGCTCTCCAATTTCTTGAGAACAGATAATGCTTTTGATTTTTAATTCTTGTTCACGAAGCGTCTCGTTCCTCGAAATCGATGGACGAAACGAAACGGAGGGAAAAAGACAGGAACGACGATTCCACCCGCGGCAAACGGACGTTACCTCTATCCACTTCGTCGGGCGAAACTCTCATTTTCGTTGCGGCAAGAAAATTGCTCCGGGTAAACGGTCAAACGCGCGTTTCGAGAAAGCCAGATATTAGACTCTGAATGGCGGCACGAGTGCACTTGTGGATGAAAAAAGGAAGAGGGAGGGGAAAAAAGGGAAATACGAGAAGGAGCTTTTTATAAGTTAACGGTGCCACCGAGCTCACTTCAATTTCGCGAAGCAGCTTTCGTCTACGCTATGTCAGCTCAGGTTTAAATACGCAATTTTGTGCGTGCATGAGGAGCGTCCTCGAGATTTTTTGAATAACGCGGACAGGAATGACGATCCCGTGGAGGAATCTGAATGAAACTGCTTGTCGATTCATTAAAAACCAACATTGCTGTGTCAGTGCAACAATTTATTTGCAAATCCTTTCGGTCAGTTTAAGTTTGGGTTAGGTTTTATTATTCACGCTGTATATCGGTCCTTTATTAACAACATTATATAACTTCTGAAGAAAGTTATACTTTCTGCAGACATTAAAAATATTTCATGTAACACATATGATGTATACATATATGGTGAAATGAAATATAAATAAAATATATAATAAATAAAATAAATATTTTGAGCATTCAAACACTTCCACGAGACACTATGTCTAACTTTCAGTTTACAAGATGCCGTAGGATATCAAGTTTTCAACTTGAAAACGATCCTCTCTGACGATTATAAAAAAACACATGGCGCGTTCTTTTATCATTTTCAAACACCCTTATTTCTCTACGTTTGACACGAAACGTACGTTCATCCGTTTCAACCGCGATATCGACTTTATGAAATTCAATTAATGGACCGGTTGGATGTGATAATCCAATTAAACAGAGGCCGCTAATAATCGGTCTAATAATTATCCGCGATTATCGCACGCGCCGTTTCACAAATCCTTTGCCGTCAACGTTAAAATAAACGTCCTTTGACTAGTCGTGTACGCGCATACATACGTTCCCCCAACTCTCACCCTCCCCCCAACGGTTTCGTTGATACAACTGCCTTCCAGTTCTCTTTTTATCCCCGTCTACCTCGCTCGCGTTCTTCGCATTCTGGTTACGAATGCATCGTGGCACGCGCCGGCCCGATTACGCCCCCTCGTTCCCTCTCGCGGCCGTAATTTAGAGATTCAATAACGGAACGGGTTGGTAGGTGCGCGCGAACAACGATCGTTCGCGAATTGTTCTAGAAAATGGCAGGCGGAAATGCAACGCGTCGGATGCCGGTCCGGCTGAATAATTCAGCCGGGCGCTGCAAGATGCTGACTTCGCTGTTGGTTTTAATCGTTTGAACGTTGGAACTCTAGTTTACGAAAGGAATACTCGCTGGCTCCGTTCCGGATATTGTTTTTTAATTACGTTGTTCAAAAGGAGAAACTTTCCGTGGTTTTTTCCCACAGTTTTTTTTTTTTTTTTTGCCGTGCAATTTCAATTTCAAATTTGGATGGCTCGAGTACGAGTTGAGCAACGAACAACGGTAGATAGGAATGTTAACGATATTGCGAGTTGGAATTTTGATAGGGGTTGGAATTTTTGTGGGGAAATGTGCCTTGTAATAATCTCCTCGACAGACATTTTTGATAAACGAAATGGCGAATCGTTATTGTACATTCTTATTTTTCTTATACTACTTAAATATTTAATTGAATATCTCTCGGTAAGAGAAAGTAACTTAAAAATAAAACTTAAAATATCATTGAAAATTCTATAAATATACAATGACATAAATTATCATCTAAAGATCATCGTCGTTGAAAATTCTAAAAACGTACAATCCAATTCTAATTACAATACAAAAGCTCAGCCGACAAAAATATCTTTATCCCCGTAATACAATTATCGCAGCATCGTTTCATTTTCAAACGTGCAAAAGCAGAGTAGGATCGCACAGCGCGAGACAGGACGCGCTCGCTTCCAAAATTTACTTGCTTGAAAAACGAGGCAGTTGTCGCGGGAATTAGCAATATCCACACCGGCAATTTCCCAAGATAAATATCGAGGCCCTGCTTATTGCACCGCCGTTCGAGGATGCAACGGCAATTGGCTGAGGATCGTGTGGAGGATTCCTCTTGCTGCAAGAATCGCGCGACTCCGGAACACCGGAAGGAAGCACGAGCGACGCATCGATTTCGACCCGAGACTGGAAATCCAAGTCGTTACGCGGCGTACGCCGATACGCAGCGAGTGGAAAGTGCGTCAGGCCGACGCTATTAAGAAATTCCTGTCGCGAGCGGATCATAAAAGTACGCGTAACCCGTCCCCAAGACCGTTTTTCATCCGATAGACCCCCGGCTTTAACGCGCGCTACTTTCCGCGCCATTTCTTGGCAACGATCGTTGCCAAGCGTCTTTGAGACTTAACCGTGTGCTGTTCGTCGTCCCTTCGTGTTTCGACGCGGGCGTCCTTTCCTCGAGGCGCCACATGGATCTCCATGAGGATCGCTCGCTGGGTCAACGAGGGGGAGGGCCGATGGAAAAACAGAAGTGGAACGGCGAATGCTTAAATCGATCGTCGTGTCGTTGAACTCGTTCCGATTCAGAATAATTTCGTATAAAATAATACGGAGTAAATTCCTTTGGCAGTTGATCGTAGATGTTCGATTTCCCTATGAAAAAATTCTCGAGATTGTGTGAATAATTACTTCGAATGCAGTGACATACTCGATCCAGCGAAGCCTCGTAAATGTAACTCAATAAATGAATAAAATGCAATTTAGAAATTAAATTTCAGTATCAAAGTACGCGGTAATAAATTGACGTTGGTTTGTTTCCTAACGCTACTGTTTTATCATTTCCAATGCAAATCGTAGATCCCGGTGCAAATTTCGTGAGTTACATGCGCCTGCTGGATCTCTTCTGATTCAGCGGCAAACGAGTTTCGAAAGGAGTGCATAAGTTAAGACGTTGAGTTCTAAGAAGGCGTGACGACGGTCGATTAAAGGCGGAAACGCGAGTACTCTATACGTTTCATACCTTATCCCTACGGTAGCTTTAAAACGCCAGAGATACGAGCCACCAGGTTCCAAAACTCGAGATAATCCCGAAAATGCTAGTTCACTTCGTTTTCTTGTTCCATCCCTTTTTCGTTCCATTTTCCTTTTCTTCTGTTCCTTTTTCGCGACGTCGAAATTTGTGCTAACTGTTCCTTCGCGTTCTCGTTCGCGCGATTCCATCCCCCATTGCGCGAAGGATTTTTTTGGGTCAGATGGATTCTCTAATGCTCCACGCTTCTCTGACGATTCGCATGTTCGCATGAAATAGACAAATCTTTTCGAAGGATCGCTACCGTTGGCAAAAAGTACTTTTATTAGAAAGTAACAAGTTTAATATATTTTTTTAAAGAAGACTATTGCATAAATATACGTGTTAATTTGATAGAATATTGAAATTAATACTAATATCCAAGTAAGGTAACACATATTCGCTGACCTATGTGTCTGATTGCGTCAGGATCATTCTACTCTACTCTTAACGTGCTTAAACAGAAGCTATAAAAATTAAACTGAAAATATATAACTCTCCCTCTGAAGTTACATTCAACAATTATCAAGACACCAGATGATTCCAACGTAGAATCTATTTTCAATCAGTGAACAATTTCTCATCCATGAAATGAAAGCTCTTTAATTAAATGAAATAATCTTACCAAAATATAACCCGTTAAAATAAACCGGTGTGAGATCATCATAATCGTATCGCCGTACACAAAATGTTCCAAACATTTTCACCCCCGATTTAACAATCACTTCGTACATATATATATTTCACAATTTCACGTACAACAGGGATATTAACGAAATAATAATAAAAACCGATTCGCCAAAACGACCGCTTATCAGAAACAGAGGCGTAAAATATTTTAATGGAACAATGTCTGTGCGTATTACAATCGCTGCCGCGATACATATTCATCCGCGGCAATTGTTCGAGATTTACTAGGCACGAATTGCGCGAATATCGTGCGCGATACGATACTCTCACAATGGATGTTCTCGCCGTTTTGTTGCGGTGTTCCGGCGAGAATATTTTATTTAATTCGAGTATCCGTTTGAAAAAATTAATTTCACTCGGTCGGGAGAACAGCCGGAAATAACGCAGTTACCGGTGGGAACGCGGCGCAGCGCGGTAATTCGAAGGCCAAGCCGCGCACGGATTTGTCATTCGATTATGCCGGTAATTTGGCCAACTCGGCTATTGTCATTGTACAATTTCGCGCGACGCGATCGAGCGAAAATATTACACGGCCGACGAAATTATGAACGCACGATGCAGATTTTACCAAAAACGCGACCTGGTTGTCGCGTTAAAATCACGATGAATGCGGGATTTGTCGAATCGTCCCGCGTGAGACTCTTTGTCCTCTTTGTTCGCTCGGGAATTTTCGATCAGAAATTTTCACTTCTGTCCGTCTGACTTTAGAAACTTCGACGATTTTTAAGGCCTTTGGGTGTCGTTATTTCGTTGTGAAAATTCAAATTTTCAAAGTGTTATATTGGGTGATTTGTTGTTCGTTGCGTGTTCGCGAAAGGTTGGTTATTTTTTAGAAAGTTACGTTCGAAACTTGTGATTACAATTTTCCCGAAAATCATGTCGCGCGTTACGATTTCCTTAATTTTCGTAATTTAAAGATTGTGTTGCGTGAAGAGTAATTCGCGGCTGTAATTTTTTTAGAAAATCATGTTACATACGCAGGAAATTATAATTGCCTGGTGTCTGTGAAATTGAAAACGTAAAACAACTGTGGAAACGTAAGTCTGACAGCGATTCTTAATAAATACGTCGCGGTCGCACGAAATGGCGTGCATCTTGCAGAGTAGTATCAGTCTGTGGGGTCAGACGCGAACGAAGCCGGGGAAGCCCTGCGCTGCACGATTAGTTAAGTCGACGTCCACCTATATAAAGCATTAAACAGGGTGTCTGCTTCCAGAGTTGGATAGAAAACTGTCACTAAAATATTGAAAACGTTCTTCTTATAGAAAACTGTGTAAATTTCGAGTTAATGTCAATTGCGATCGGTATTTAAACGTTGCAACGGCGAATTGGTTATTGGTAAAAAACGTAGACAGACGATTGTGGGAAATGAGTAAGAAACTGAATAAATATGGAGATTTAATAACGAAATGTTTAACTTGTTAATAATTGTGTTTGACAAGTTCAACAACGAAAAAGATATTACCGTTTTTCGAATACCACAGTGAAATATAATTCGCTTGAAAGAGACCGTGAATTTTACACTGTAGTGTAAAATTGTGGTTTCTTGAAATTTGTAGAATATTCCTTTAGTGTTGTTACAACGAAAACAGGACCAGGAGGATCAATTTGAACAGTAAAATTGTGGATTTTTTTTCAATGTCAGTTACTACAATATTGTCACATTTAATGTGCGTTTATCATCTCTGAATTGACAAGTTACATTAACAGTTCTGAGTTAACAAGATTTGATTGAAATAAGAATATATCTTACACGGTCAAAGAAGTCATGATTTCCACCAAATATGATATTCAAATAGAATTCATGAGATGATCGGCGACAATCGCCAGTTACTCTTGACACCTGCGAGCGTTCGATATTTCTCTAAACTAAATTATCCAATCTCTGGAAATTTATCGTTTTAACTTCAACCTCGGGAACTGAACTTCCATGTACCTCGGTATAGAAATTGAAGTTGTCGAAGTGATTCAACCTGTCGTAAAATCTATGGGTCTCCACTGAAATCGCACTGTTGATTGTACTCAACAATTCTCCAGTTACAACACAACAGAGTGATTTAAAGCGAGCAAATTTTCACAATGCAACGTTTGACTACGTCCAACAAATTCCACAAATGCCATTTATTAACGACAACAGCAGCAACAATCACGATGTCAAGCGCGTAGTTGCACATCGCACGTCGACGAAGTAATTTTTTCACTTTTTTTTTTTAGACTTGGACATATTATTCGAATAGTACATTTCAGAAATGGCGAACTATAATTTGTGTATCATCTCACGTCGCTGGATATTATTTGAAATAACTGCGCATTAATTTATTTGAAAATGAAAATGATCTTTCTCTAGATCATTTAGCTATCGAAGTAACCTTTTATTTTAATTTTTATTTGAATGAATTTTTATTCCAACGATTTTTCAAATATTTCCCAACACCTGTTAGCAATCTTATCCAGAATCAGGTAAATTTTAATTGATACAAAGGCAAAATATGATCATTTGAAATAATGAATTATTTCTATTGATTTGTTATTTTCATTTGAAAAGTAACTTGGGAAACGTAATTCTATTTGGAAATAACCCTTCATTGAAATAAAAATTTATAAAACAGGATCAGAAATTATTTGAAAAATACAAACGTAAAACAAAAATAAATAATTTATATGCTTGTTCAAATAACATTGAGTCAAATAGGATATCGTAACAATTATATTTCGTTGAAATAATACCCTCGACATTCAATGTCAGATTATTTAAACTCGAATAATGAATTACTTGAAAATAATTCATTTCAATATATCACGCACTGAAGAGACTTACATTTCCCGTATTATTTCTAAAATAAAGATATTGGATCAATTAAAACAATTCATTGCTTCGAACCCAATAATTTTTCTCATTTTATTCGAAATAGAAACGAGACCGTGTCTGTTTTGTTTCGTTCAGTGTTCACGGAGCTGATTGAATCACAGCGTCGCGTCATTCGACCCTTTGCGACAGTCGATGGAAGCCCTTCAAATCGACTCTGCAACGCGGAAAGTATTGGATTTTATTAAACGGCCAATGAAACGCTCGACTTTTCTGCATCGGCCCCTCCGCGCTTTTTTCGACTGTCGGTCGACGAAACTGAAAGGAAAAAAGAAGGGAGAGGGCAAAGGAAAAAGACCGCAGCGTCTATAAACTCTTGAGGGCACTCCGAGCCTTCAGAAACTCGTCGCGTGATTTATTCCAATCGCGAGAACAGCTTTTGCGTTTCGAACTGTCCACGCAAACTCGCGGAAATTTACAATTTTTATTATATTATGTGTGTGTATATATATATCGTCGGTTTTCTTTCTGTTTTTCTGAGAATCAGTGTCCTCGAGGATTGCTTAATAATGAACCTCCATTTTCATCGCAACTCTGATAGCAACGACATGAAAAAGAACTTACTGTTTCTCATACAGTTGTGCGTTGAAGTAAAGAAAGCAAAATCTAGGAGGGAGATAGAAGTTGGTTGAGGTACAAAATGTACAATAGTTTTTTTACCATTTCTAGAAATCTGAATTTGACCTATATCTACAAAATTATAGTCCTGCAGCTCTTCTTTTCGTAAAATTAATTAAAGTGCAGAGTGGTCGATTTAATTAGTTAACTAGATCTCATCATTTTACTTATGAAGGTCGTACGTTTATGTGCAAATTTTTATATAAATATATATATATATATATATATATATATATATATATATTTTTATAAATATCGGCAAGTGAAAAAGGAGATTCGTTTCACTTACTAAGTTATAACGACTGTTTTACATTTTTATGTATATATTAATCAGCTCCAATTTTCCCTCCTTTTTCTTCAACAAATATTTGAACGAGTCAGCTAAGTATCACAATGCCCAAAGTATAATACCCCTCTCTTACCGTATTTAGCGAGTGAAATAAATCTCTTTAATCGCGTTCGTAAAAATCCTGTCGCATAGTCACGATTAAAACCCATCAAACGATCCAGTGGAAGAAATTACGCCAAACAACAGAGAATTGAAATTGCAAGACACAACTGAGAGCTGTACGAAGCAGAAGAATAAAAAAAAAAAAAGACAAAGAAAAGAAGAGTCTCGTCACTCAGAAAAGCTTCGCCTACTGGCGAGGAAGGTCGGACGCAAACAGATGAATTTCGTGGATGGAATACACGAACGTTTTCCTTCGTGAAATCCAGCGATCACGGGCAATAAATGCACCGTGCCGGATCGAGATTGCCGTTCGAGATGTCAGGCAACGGTTTATGGAGCAAATGCCACGTATGCGTGGAATAATTCATGAGGTGGAAACCGCTGGTCGACTGTTATCGCCGTCATGAAACCCTGCGAGGGATTCCTCGCCAGTGGAAAACGCGCGGTCTCTAGTCAGACGCAGCGAGATGAAACTGATTCTCACCTGGGATGTTATTTACGTTGTCCGTTAGCCACAAGCGAGAGACACATTCGCTTGATACAGACCCCGATATCTTTGGGATTATTAATTCTTCGCTAGTGTCACTCTCGTGGTAACACGCGTATTTGTGTAAAGGTAAAGTGTATTTCTGATTTCTGGAGCAACCGTGATGTACATGTTAGTTCAGAGACACGTTAGAATACCTGTACAACTCGCGTACGAAAACGCATTTTATGCATTTGTGGGATATTTGAAGTAGAAAGGAATGCAAGCCACGTTTTACCAATACGTGTCTCAGAGGTACTTAGAAAGTTTCGCGCAAAGTTTCTGTGAAAATGTTTGAGATACAGTGCTCCAAGTATATAAAGTTCCAAACTTTTAAAATTCTAATTTCACGTTGAATGTATGGGAAATATGTTTATTAAACGATAGAGGCACGACACGTCATATTCCGAGACGTTGGAAAATGCCTCGAATCACGAATTAATATTTGTACGCTAATTAATTCAAGGTGCTATATAAACTAGTACTGAGATTATTTTTACAGGCAACATATCTCTCTCAAAATCCTGACCTACTCTAAACGTTTGAGCGACAATGTATATATGAATTCCTTGCAGTCGAAAGTTTTCATACGAGACAACGTACCTCAACGTACACTTACGAACGCGAACGTATGTAAATTGATCGAAAGTTGCTCCAAAGTAGATAAAATAGTATCAAGTAAGCCCGAGCGGAATTCCTAGAATGTGTAGAATGTATTTATACACATATAACCGGTGCTTCGTAGAATCGAAGGTGCTCGCGATTGGAACTTAATCCTTCTCCATGCAGAAACTACCATCTCTGTCTCTCTCTTCGGGTCTCTTCGGTTAATAGAAGCAATTAAAACTTGTCCAATATATTCCGTGTAAGTCTCATTTGCTTATCCAACGGTGATGGAATTCCACGCGTCAGTGACTTAAGAGTTTCCCAAGGGATCTCTAGTTCTTATCCCAGGTACTTAACGATTTTACTTTCTCTCTTTTTCTTCCTTTCAGACTATGTCTACGCTTTTAATGAAAATCCAACTACATCGTTGCAACAGCCGACAACAATACGAAGTTACTCTACTCCAATTTTCTATCCGCTTCGTTTCCAAGTTACTATCTCGTAACGATTCTTCGAAACAGGCGCTCAAAAAAAAAAGGACGTCTGTCATGTGGAAGGACCTCGATTCTATTGAACACGAGCGAACACTCGATCCTATTCGCTGCCTCGAGCAAGACGGGTGGAAGCGTATGTCGGACAGTTCGATGTGTAGGTTCTGCCGATTGTATCGGCAGAAGTAATCCACGTAACAGTCAGCCGTTGTTCGTGAAACAGTTTTCCGCGTGGATTTGAACAAAGGCGCTGTTGTTATCGTAGGTGCTTAAATGATTTGTATCTTTTTCAAATTCGTAACAACGTGAAGATGTCTGAGTGGTTGTCGAAAAAATATCACAACGTTGTCGGGAAACGAGTGAACCTTTTTTTTTTATTTTTATATTTATTTATAGGTGATTATTTTTGTATTTATTTATTTAGGCGAATATTTTTTTAGGCGACTGCTAAATGAAATTATGGATATTATTTGAAATCTTCGTTTTTTATTAATTTCTTAGTTAGTGCAAGATTAACAGCGAATTTTGAACTTGAAATACTTATTTTCGTAAGATCGTTCAACGAAGAAAAATACAATGTTACATTTCAAGGCAAATTTAAAAAAAACAGTGATCAATTTTTCTGTGCTTTTCGATATGGATTCTAAATTCTTTCGGTTTCATAATTAAATTTTTATTAAACGAAAAGTAGACTTATTTGCAGAAGTTAATTTTAATTACTGACTGCCATTGAATTGGAACATGTGTGTAAAAAATTCCTATTGTTTTACAGATAAAAGATATAATATCTAAAATCTAGCGTACAGATTTTGAAAAAATTTTAATTATTATAGAAATAATGAAAAACGTACATATTTTTGGACGATTCGGAAGACTTTCTCTGCGATATGTTTCAGGCAGGAATTTCACTATAAATACAGCAATGGCTATTTCTAAAGAAATATTATAATACATGAAAACTATTAATACACATCACTGTATTAAAATAATATAACATATTTATTATATTAGTGTTTAGTCAAACAATTATCGGTTACGTAACACTGCGGAAATTATCTTGTCATCTAAAGTGATTTCGCTCTTTCTTCCGTTGAATCAGCTTTTTATCAGGAAAGACTATCGTTTATCCTTGTAACCAACCAGTGTGCCATTTGTCCACGTTCTTCTCAGTCTCTCATAATCACTTAACATTTTCTAGAGAAAAACGTTTTGATGTCAGCTATTTATCTGTCTTGTAGACGATATCGCTCGGTTCGTTCAACGATACAACATTACGTGTTTTGTCGTGAGCTAATCTTTTCTGGCGAAATAGCACAGTTGTTTTACCAGATTGTCGACTCAGTTTTTCGAGACTGTAATTTATTTATTCATTCAGCGTGGCACAGTTTTTACTGCCTAACCCAGAAATAAACAGAGTATGCGAGACGAAATAGGGAAAACGACATACAGTGTGCAAAATTAGGAAACTGATACTGATTTAAATTGTTAAACTTTCTTAAAGCGTCAAGACATTAAATCTACTGGCATTCACATATATAGTAAATGGTGTACTATACATGTCTTTACAATATTTGGAAACTCCGTTAACAAAATAGAGTTAGTAAAAGCAAATTAAACAACAACGTGTTTCGAAGGAGAAAATAAAGAAATTAGATCACGCTGTGAATGCGTTTATTCAAGAATGGATTAGAGGAAAACAATAAGAGATCGTGTACACTGGTTGGTTTCAGCGCGCTGTGCACACGCGATGTACGACGTTTTAATTAGCACTTCACTTGGAAGGCATTGATTCCGACTTTTTTCACGATCCATTGTTGCTCGAGTGAGCCACACTTCAGCCGCTAATTGGGGTAATCGTTTCACTGCACGCCTCGCGAGAAAGCCTAACATCGATCCGCGTGCCCCGTCATTTTACGCCGCTGTTTGAAGAACCCTTCCCTCGCCGATCAATAGGATTACTCGAACGTTTCTCAAACTTTTCGGCACTACGATTTTCAGGTTCTTGATCGAATCTTTTGTTTATTCGTTGACTGCAGAGTGAATACAGGGTTGTAAAACAGTCGTTTGAAAGCTCTCGGCACAAGTAGTGTATTTTCTTAAAAATTGAACGATACTTTATGTTGCAAAGAATCTGTACAGTATTAAAAATATTCTATTAAAAGTAGATAGCTACGACATATAAAATAATTCATAATAGTAGTTATAAGAAGCTATTTATAAACACAGAGCTTTCAAACATGAGTGTATCCGCTCTATTTATTGTAAAGGTCACTTTTCCAATACTCTTCTTAAAATGGTACCAAATATTTTTTATATACTTATCTTATATTTAAAAACACTGAATTTTTAAAATCATATCACACTGAGCAGCTTTCAGACATAAATACCTTCACAGATTTTCTCACTCATCTCAATGATACAGTCTCTGGACATTGAATTGAAACCACTCGGAATGTTTTTGGTAAAAGTGAAAGGTTCGAACGAATTTTAATAACAAGTTTTACTAACCATGGAAGCACAAGAATCTATGATTGGCTCCACTAGAATTTCTAAAAATATACGATTTACCTCGTGTGTATCGTGAAAGAAAAAAATTAATAAGAGCAAAAGATGAAATCTGATAAAACAATGTATATAATGTATAACTTTACGCTTCCACAGTATGTATGTACTTGTAATAGTTAATAAAATTTATTAATAACTGTTATTAAGAACTTGTACGATGTCGAAAATTGCGAGTGGTCTTAATTCAGTAATTACGACTTTAAAACAGATGCTATATTTTAGTTTTCTATTTGGAGTAATTTATCGACGAGAGAGAGAGAGAGAGAGAGGGAGAGGGAGGGAAGGGGGGTTCTCCAATGGATCCCCAATGGACTCAAAGGAAGCTATTTAGCCGAGTTTCGTGATAGAACAGGCGCGGTATAACTAATAGTTAAACGATTCAACCGCGAGGCAGCTTTTGAACGAGAGCGCGGCACGTCGCGAAGATTGAATACAATTTGGTTTGTTCAGTCAAAGGCGATAAGCCTTCTTAGTTACCTTCCCTTTTCAATAAGGCAATCCATAGCCGACTACGAGAAGCCTGAAACGCAGTTTAAACCCGGTCCAATCAGCTGGTTGCTTCTCCGCGAACGAACTGTCAGCGACGGCGCGAGGTGCAAACAAATCTTAGCAAATCAGCGACGTGCAGAAATTTTCCAAATTAAATCCGCTCGAATTATCTCGACGAAAAGTACGCACGAAACGTGACCCCGGTGACGAGGAGAATTGCGTTAATTCGCGTACGTGACCTCAAAGTTTATTTAAAAAGCGGTCCCTCTCTTTTAATTTTTACTGCTTTCAATTTTGTTTTTAACTTTGGTATCTGTTCTGTCGTGATTAGGTTGGATTATATCTAATAATATGAAAAATATTTCAAATAATGTTTAATCAATTTCGGCAAGAGAATATGGTATGTATATATATATATATATATATATATATATATATTTTTTTTTTTGCATTTTTGTCACGTTGCTGATATTTTAGTATGACAGTATGACACTTCTCTTTATTTCATCATGTAGCATGTGCTAAGATACGTTCGAAGTCGTATACACAACTAAAAATTAACGCTATCTTCAGTGACAATAAGTTGATGACCATAAGTAGCTGATGAGCTTCGGTCTGCTTGGTGAATTACGCAGAATTTCGCGAGTATTTGCATGCACGTGGGATATTTTGCACGAGTTTCCACCGG